ATTACACTACATTATCTACACTACACTACACTAATTACAACAACTATTACTACCACAATATCAACTACACCACATCACACTACGCTGCACGAATTACACTGCAGTACCCTATAAATACAAACCTGAGAAGGGAGGAACGAAAGCCAGGGGAGTGCGAAGGTGGGTGCGAAGAAGAAGGAGAGGAAGAGGGAGGATGCGGGAAACAGAATGTACGTGATAATGGCCCCACATCGGAGCCGCAAGTTTTCCATTGTTTTTCCATCACATCAATTTCCATCCTTTTGAACTTGGTATCATGTTCGAAGCGTTCTACTCATCATTATTTCCCTAGCGTTTGATGTAACATTCCTTCATTTTGTCCATGTTCACAGTGCAAAACATGGCGTCGACTGAAGCAAGTCAAGCTTATGCAGCGGCTTTTCTGTACCGAGCCAGCGAGCAATGAGAGGCACAAGGATATGTATAATCTGGGTTGCTGAAGCAGCAGTGTTTGCTGCAAATGCATCTACCTTTTTGCTGAATGCTGCATGTGTCTGTAACACTGTTGCCATTCCGACTTTTTCAGAAACTGCTGCAGCATCAACAGCCAAATGTCACGTTATATAGATTGTATAATGCATGATTGTGCGCTTGTCTGATAAAGCAACCCACATCGACCACATGCGAGAGTATTTGTGTAGTTGTATACCTGAGATTCTGCTAGCTTTTGCATAAGATCTGCTTTTCTTGGTCACCAAGACATGATGGGCGTGGCAACATCCAGGTCGCCAAATCGCACAACTGCATTCTTTAGGGCGACACATCACAAAGATATACAAACATCTACTAGTACACAGAACAGTATATATATATTATATACATATGTACATATACATACAAAATAGAGGCATATTCCAATAAACAGAACTAAATATGGATTTTACAGGATCTGTGTGGCATCCCCAAGCCCTGTCATGCCCTGTTGACCCTGCAGTCTCCAGACTGCGACTATTGAATCATATTGAATCATTTTGAATCATATAGAATCGATAAAACGATATATATATATAAGTGTATGCAGCTCGGTGCCATCGATGTCCATATCTTTCACATTCAGATAGGCATGATTGTGGATGTATACTTGGACAAAAAATGTATGTGTAGGATGGTCTAGGTACAAAATGGATCGAAATGGTACGTACCTACGCGTGCATTTGTGTATGTGTGTCCAACTGGTGTAGAAACGAGCTACCGTATTTAAGGCAGCAAAGCACTGCGAAGCATGGATTGGAAACCAATACTTTCCAGAACTGGATTAAGTGAATTGGATTAAGTGAATCGTATAATAAAAAAACAAGCTCCAACTGAAAGGAGCTACATCTAATCACATCAAGTGTCATCTAGTTACCAAATTCATGTACAGTTCTCGTGGCCATTTCAAGCCATGTTTTTCGTCATTTTACCCTCTCCTCAGTGTTTCCACCGTTGTAATCAATTTTCCAAGCGTTCGACTCAAATTTTCCATTGCTTTCCCATTCTTTTCCCATTGTTTTACGTCATATTCCCTCATTTGTTCATTGTTTATTCCACAATCCCTATAGTTGCACCGCATAAACGGTTTTGCTCGTTTCTTCCATGGTTTTCTTTCCGTGCGTCTACTTCATAGTGGTCACACATCAAAACGGCCATTTTTCCATTGCTTTTCCAATGTTTCACGCGTGCTTTACGTGACTTGGCATCATTTTACCCTCTCCTCAGTGTTTCCACCGTTGTAATCAATTTTCCAAACGTTTTACTCAAATTTTCCATTGATTTCCCATTCTTTTCCCATTGTTTTACGTCATATTCCCTCATTTGTTCATTGTTTATTATGGCATGAAGATTGCATTGCTTACAAAATTGTGGTAAAAATTAAATTTCTGCACATCACATGTGTGTCATCTCTTCTTGGATACCACAACAAACTAGAAGAATGAGATTTATAATAAATGGTCAAAAATATGATTTCTCAGTATTTGAAGTTAGATCAATCGGCGAGGCAGCAAAGGACCATAAGAATGCACTAAATCTTGAGCGAATAAGGTATGCTGCCCATCTTGCTAAAAAGTACCATCATGGAACTTCTGTACATCACATGGTGTTAATCAAAACGACCATTTTTCCATTGCTTTTCCAATGTTTCACGCGTGCTTTACGTGACTTGGCATTATTTTACCCTCTCCTCATTGTTTCCACCGTTATAATCAATTTTCCAAGCGTTCTACTCAAATTTGCCATTGCTTTCCCATTCTTTTCCCATTGTTTTACGTCATATTCCCTCATTTGTTCATTGTTTATCCCAAATTTCAGACATATGGCATGAAGATTACATTGCTTACAAAATTTGGGCAAAAACTGAACTTCTGCACATCACATGTGTGTCATCTCCTCATATCGAAACTGCAATTTTTCCATTGCTTTTCCATTACGCGATAATGGTCCCACATCGGAACCTCAATTTTACTTGGCATCATTTTACCCTCTTCCTATTCTTTCCACCGTTTTTCCTCGTGTATCAATTTTCCAAGTGTTCTATTCAAATTTTCCATTGCTTTCCCATTTTTTTCCATTATTTTATATCATAGTTTCTTATTTTTTTCCATTGTTTTTCTCATCATTTTCCCCTCTTTTCCCATTTTTTTCCCATTGTTTTATGTCATATTCCCTCATTTTTCCATTGTTTTTCTTATCATGTTCCATCATTTTCCCCTCCTTTCCCATTTTTTCCCATTGTTTTATATCATATTCCCTCATTTTTTTCCATTGTTTTTCTCATCATTTTCCCCTCCATTGCAATCTCCCCAAGTCCACCTCGGAGGGCGGACCAGGGGGGAATCGATACCCCACCGTCACCCAATTGCCACCTGGTACATAACCCTAAAAAACTTTACCTGTGGCCACCTTTTTTACCACCTAATTTCCCGATTTTTGGCCAGTTCGGGGCGCTCTGCCCCCAGACCCCCTTAACTCATTTTGTTCGCAAAAAGAACTTCGCCTGGCCTAGCGGCTGGCTTTCGTAATATATTTATAATTATATTTCATTACACAACACTAGACTACAATACACCAATTACATCACATTTCGCTACAACTACAACTGCAACTGCAATTGTAACTACCACTAATTACACTACACCACACTACAATTACAACTACACTACCTTACACTGCACTACACTAGAATACACTACACTATACAGCACTACGATACACAACACTACAGTACACTACAACACACTACACTAATTACACCACACCACACCACAACTACAACTACAACTACAACTGCAACTACAACTACACTTATTACACATTCTAACTACAACTCCACTACACCACACTACAACTACAACTACAACTACAACTGCACTACACCACACTACATCCAGCAGTTGTGGGTGAGGTGACCACTGCAACCATTGCAAACTCCAAAAAACACAACTTCAACTACCTTGCGGTCCATCAGTGGATTCGCTCTGCCATCCGTGATTCACAACAACCAACCTCTCCTATAGGTTTCCTATTTTTGAAACTTCCGCCACCGCCTTGCGCGGTACTACTGGTAAAATAAACCAATTAATCCGCGATCCGCCATGAGATTCATATAAAACCGTGTCAGGAGTTTAAGGGGAGAGGAGTGCAGCAGCTAGTCAAAAGAAAAAGCGTTTGTCCTGGTGGTGTAATCAATAATAAGTAAAATTATATATATATACAATATATTTATAATAAATATATATATATATATAATCAATATGTATATAATCAATGTATTATTTTAAACTTATTTTGGATTTTTAATCATATTTTATTTATTTGCTTTTTAAGATCACTATGTTCAAATATGTGGGAATTAATGTCTATTGTGGCGGCGCGCAGGTCAGATCTTTACCAACAACATACCTAGGAACTTCCAGGAGAGGAAAGGAGATCTTCGAACATCCATAGACAGTCACTTGACATAAATCTAAGGTCGCCTCACGAATCTCAAAAGAAAATCACAAAACCACAAGGGGTCGAACATTATGAGATGAGATACTTGCTGCCATGCTTCTTAAGGCAAATCTGGATGCAGTGACAAGTTCGACCAGCGACCCATTTGGGCTTCATACCAGGATCAACCATTGGGAAACCTACGGGGAAAACACCACGGCTGCCACGGTACCCAGGATCCGCAGAGCATTCGGAGATGTTCAAGGTCGCATTGCCAATGGGTGCATTGGCTGGAGGAGGCAAGACCTAAAAAAACGCAGCAACGTCTGGCACTTTGATGAGTTGAACATCGGTTTTCCATTGGTTTTCAATGGTTTTTCATGGGTTTTCCATGGTTTGCCTTCACCTGTTGTGTGAGTTTCTTTGATTCTTCCTCAGACTCATGTTGGCATTCTACATCCAGAATCAGAAGACTACCGGAGTAAAACTCAGACAAGGCACTTTGCATGGACATCTGCTTATCTTTGTTTTGCTGGAGTTTGGAGTTTATATAATTGGTTATGCAAATACTGGGTGTCGGCGTAGGATAGGCCAAGTATGTACCTATAGGTAGAATGAAGGAAAATCTTGCAACAAATAGCCCGATGAAGTTGGCAGGATTTTATGGTTACATGACCATTCATTCCGGTGTCAAGACCTGCAGCTTGCTTAGCTTCTCAAGCAGCTGGCGAAACAGCACATCTACTTCTGAGAAGGTTCTCTTCAAGAGTAGACACTCCTATGATCACAGTACAAGCAACTTTGAACTCTTCGACTGGTCTGGTAAGTTCTTTTAATTTTACTAACCCCCATTTACAGAAAGGTTCTTGTAAGATCACTGTCACTGTCATTTGCCGTGGAAACCCTCACGAACTTGGTTGCTGTCCGAGCAGCTGTCCAGTCAACCACTTTGTCCACACCCCTCTGAGTCTGCACTTTGGTCCTTGGGCTCGTGAACAACGACCCACATCAAACCCAACTGTGTGATATTTCCAAGTGACTGCCAGTGACTGCAACTACTGCAATGCTCAACAATCAAAGTCAGCATTCAAACTCCAAGTCGCCAGAGCGCTTTGCTTGGGCACGCAGGTCGCTTGTGCCTGAGATGCTCTTGGGGTGTATGTGATGGCTGAGTCCTCCTGGGGTTATCATTTAGGTTTTGTTTAGCTTCTCCAAGATGAAGCTCGGACCACTTTGGGGGAACCCTTCGGTTTACAGTTCAGCTCTGCTTCTGGAATGTGTTCATTTCCCCAAAAGCCTCCCAATCTGTTCAAGAGGCATCATCTTGCCCTGCCATCTGAATCTATCCACCCCACAGACACTCTTACCCCCTCCGATTTATCTGTTGAACATCGTTGGAAAATTCTCCCGTTGGACCATTGCATCTCAGCTGCGGCTCTTCCAGGGGTGCCACATCCTCTGGAACAAAGCCACACTTGTCCACCTGACGATGACAGGGATCAGAGTGTAAAGAAAACCTCTGCGGGATCTCCGATCACCAACTGGACCAACTCCAATGATGGAGGTGCTTCTCCGGATGCCTTGGCAGCAGGAGCATCCCATGTGGAATTCACCTGGTACTTCTTGTACACCTTCTGCCTGGGCACGCGGCAAGGAAACTGCTCGGCTGCAGGTGCTACTGCTACTTCATTGTGATTGGGAAAGTCAAAAGCTGGTCTGGAGCAACATCCTGCTGAAGTACTCATTAACCACTGACGTCTCTTTACTCTTTCAAATCGAAAAATGCTTTCAGTCCAATCTTAGGGATGCTGATGGTGGTAAAGTATCTGCAAAGTTCTTTCACGAAACAAGAACGAGATCTCAACACAGAGCTGGCTACAGTGCAACTGTCAAGAACTGGGCACAGCCGAGCAGCAAATTAAAGTAGTTGTCCAACAAGTAGAGCTCATCCTGCCATTTGCTGCTGAGCAAACTGCATGCCTCCACGTTAATGTTGTTGTGCCAACATGGCTTATTTGGGTCTAAAAATAGACCCTCCCCGAATTCACCGGAATTGGCAGCATCCCCCATTTTACAACAAAGAAGTAGTGTTTCAAAGCATGGAAACGAGCCGCTATCCATAGGAGGCTACTGCAACCTGCCGCCAGTTTCCTGTCCTGTCCAGCCAAAAAGCCGGGCGAGAGGGTCAGACCATACTCTTCCTTGTCCTTCAGGGCATGAGAAAGTCACCGCTGTTGGCAGCAGAAAATGTTGATGGCGCCCACTGGTACCGTTGTATCCCAAAACTAAGGATGGCACCATGGACCACTGGAAAGCCACTGCTCCGCTCATGAATTCGCCCATGTCCTGCAACAAAACGAAAGATTCATGGGCCAACCATCTTGACAACACATCTTTTGTGCTGAAAAAACCAGACAAATCTCAGCCTGTCAGCAAGGAAAAGGTCTATGCGCCTCACCCAAGAAGTGCTTCACATCAGGCCAGGTTCGACCATCTGCAGAGAGACGTGGATCATGCGCCGCATGTCCCCCACTTTTGATGGGAAACTCTGAGAATCCATGGATCAACTGGATCAACCCAGAGAACCCAGGCACAAATTCCATCAAATTCCTGTCACACCAGGTTATCAACAAAGCTTCTCAGAAGTGTTGTGACCTAATGAAGCTAATCTGGCCTGGATATGGGCATTTGGTCTTGAAGACGCCCAAGTTGCACCCAAACTCAGAGAAGATGAAAGGTACTGAAAAGTCCTTGAAGTCCTGAATCATTCTCGCTGAACTAGCGAAAATAGCGCTTTACTGTTCATCATTGTTCATCAGGGGCACTGGATTCAGATTGATGTTCCAAAATAGAGAAGTGCCTGTCCTTCTTGATGTCTTTGTACGGAGAGTATTGGAAGTTATCTGCCTTGCCATCGCCTGGATAGGTCTCCTCAGTGTCAAGTGAGCCACTCTGCACTTTGACTGTGGCGGAATTAACAAGGTCATGGAAATAATGGAATAGTTAGAATAGTTATTGACTGGGATGCACAGGCAAGTATTGAGCCACTTTTGACCACCAGGATGTTTCTAAAAAAAGCGAGTCCTACTAGCGAAGAGCGGCTCGGTGCTCGCTCGCTCGCTCGCTCGCTCGCTCGCTCTCTCTCTCTCTCTCTCTCTCTGATGTGCATCTACAAATAGATATTCAGCAGGCTACTGACAAAGGAGGCAATTTTTGATTGTCTAGCATGTCCACCATGTCTACCTTAGATCTCTTCATTTCCGTATGCGTGTATGATGATTTAGCGGCCATGTTGTGTACGCTCTGTCCAAGCTTCGTCGCACCAGGAGTACACGTTCAAGCCATAGGCATCAACCGCATCAGCTTCGCTGTCCAGTGCGCAGGTCAGGTAACTTAGAGCAGAAATGATCACAGTTCGTGTCACACGTTTCACCTAAGTTTTACCTAATCCCAAGATATCCCAAGGGGAGAACAGCACGCTCAGGTGAAACCAAGTGGATGTTACTAGCGGCGATACTACTATGGCATTCCAAAACAACAAGTGGATTTGGGATATCGTGTCTGAAAATGGTACAATACCCAAAATCCAGTGGTTCATCATACCCCATTGCACTTCTATGGGCATCCCTATTTTCAGGCCCAAAGATCACATTTCTAGTCAGATATATCCCATTATCTCTATATAAGACCACCATTTCTTTCCTAAACCTGACTGTTTCGGCTTATTTCAATCAGGACGACCTCTAACATAATGTAACCTGACATGTTCCGCAAATTCCTACACAATTGTCGGTTATACGGATCTACGTATGTTACCTATATCATATCTGTATAATGTATCCCATCATATCCCCATGACCATGACATTCCGCCAGGAGACTCTGCAACCACCTTCCTGGCAGCACCTCCTCCAGTGTCCACGTCTGAATAGATCAGGGGCACCCGACCTGGGCGCCGTCTCCGATGAATCCCAAGTGAGGATACCGAAAATTGGAGATCTCAGTCGATCTCAGGTTGAAAGCACAGGGATACCCTGGGTACCATGTTCAACTGGACGGTGTAGCTGGCACTTGGGGATCGGATGAAGCAAAAGCGTCCATTGAGTCCATCCATACGTTCACTCGTCGTACTGGAACTAGAAGGATAAAATGACGAGTGAGCAAACCTACAGACAGTTGTAGCAATTATCCACCTTCAGGGTTCCATGATTAATCTGTAAATGTATATGCATGCCCCCACATATACTGTGGATAGATGTACACAGTATATTGTAGCTACTCGACATAAAAAAATGAACTACCTTTTTCACCTTAAATAATTTGCGTGTTAAATTACACAGATATATGTGTAACGTGATTCATATTGAACATTATATATATATACAGATTATTCTATATACATATACAGATACATATATAAACAATATGTTTCATATCAAATATCATGAAACTTATTGTATCAGATAATCTATGTTTACATTATTACACACATCTCCGCCACTCAAAGGTACATAGTGCCACAAGCCGAGTGGCGCATTGTGGAGCTGCACTCCTCCTGACACATTGGTCACATGGCGTAATATGAAGTGAAAAGATTGAAGACCACGTACATATATTTACTCGGATAGATACACAGATAGATAGATACACAGACGGACAGATAGACTGATAGACTGATAGACAGACAGACAGACAGACAGACAGATAGATGGATAGATGGATAGATAGACAGAGAGATAGCTATCTAGATACATAGATAGATAGATGGATGGATAGGTAGATAGGTTGATAGGTTGATAGATAGATAGATAGATAGGTAGATAGGTAGATAGGTAGATAGGTAGATAGGTAGATAGGTAGATAGGTAGATGGATGGGTAGGTAGATAGATAGACAGACAGACAGACAGATAGATAGATGTAGAGGGACAAGCAGTATGTATGTATGTGTACATATATATATATATATGTACATATCATGCATATTATCATAGGAGTAAGATGAGTATTGCCAGATTGACTCGACCAAATGATGTGCAACGCATTGAAACCCAATACTCATAAGGCCTGGTAGTTGTGGAGGTCCCGAACGAAGGCTTTCACACACGGGAAGGCTGCATATCCATTCCTTCAAGCATGTTGTGGCTGACTCAACGCACTCTCTACAAAAACACTACGTCTGTATTTCATCTTCTGCCCACATGCCTGATCATTGGCTGTGTTTCAAACAGAATCTTCCGAAAATCAACAGATCTACAGCACAATTCACAACAAGAACTACATTTCGTGTCCATGTAAATGTAGTGCCAGCCCCTCCTGACAGGGAAGAACATGGTATTGGTGCATACAATTTCCAGATCTTTCAGGGACTCCAGTTGAACGTGAAACTTTTTTTGCTCATGCCGCTGAGGGTCTTGTCCAACTGGGCAAGCTCATTCGCAGCTGTGAAAAGAAGAGTGTTGTTGTACGGCGCGAACCTGAAATGTTGGGCACGAAAAATAAAAGACAAAAGTTCCCCTGTGACCCTTCTGCTCGGTGGTTTCAAATAGTTATATCCATCCCTACTTGGGGTGATGACACCAATTGACTTATGTTTCAGAGGGGTTAAAACACCAATGACACTTTCAGATACCTAAATCACAAAATCCCTAGCCATGTAAGATTGGATAGGGGCCTATGCAAGGGAATACCCGCTGCCACTTTGTCCCTACATGGTTCTCGTGTATGTCGCCTCGACTGGCGAGATTGGGGCTCTGAGGTAGATTTGATCGGGTTTCTTTGTTGAATCCCACATGAAGCATCACCATTCGATACATGCCACCGTGAAGCATCACCTAATTAGCACTCTTGATGACCCCCACGACTCAGACTGTGACCATGCCGCCATTTTCGCGATTCGCCATGATTCACATTGATTCACCAGTGCAGCTATGCGACTCCTTCATGACCGTCTTGGCAAATGCCAGGACATTGGTCCCGACATTTCCATACTCCTCGATTTCCTCACGGTGGAAGTGCTGGGTGTCAACCCCCAAGCGACTCTGCCTTACCTTCCAAGGTGTGAATTCATGTCAAGGATGGGGGGAAAGTGCCACTCTCATTCTGCCCGCAATGACTGCTACCATGTCCCACTCTACCTGCGTTCAGTCCTGAGTGTAGCAATCCGGAGCTGGGAATGCGGGCAAAAAGCCCCAGTCCTGCTTTTTGCGGCTCTGCAATGGTGATGAATTGGTGCTTCAAAAACAACCATTATGAATCTAACCCTCATCCCACCATTTCATCATGGTCATGTTGTCGGCCGGCTCCCGGAGAAGTCCTTTCCAGTCAAGGGCACGATGACATAAAGACCCAGTGAATGAGCCTTCTTCATGAACTTCGCATGGCTCTTCTGTGGGTCAATCTGAGTGCACATATGAAAAGGCGAAACTCGATGAACTGATTTATTGGGTCAAACAGTTCATCTTGGGACCAAAAAAACGTGCATGGCTTGATAGCAAAATTCACACCGTCAAGAAAGCTTACCACCTGATTCAAATTTGCGAGATTAAAACTTGCGACAGGAATCAGTGGTTGAGATGGCAATCCCAGCTAGCTTAACACCAGAAGCGGCATGATATATCATGCTTTCACTGGAACTCGCCAGGCAATAGCTAGCCATGACCCTGAATTTTTGACCGAGAGACATTGTAGAGCCGGACGGTGTTGGCTCCCATGTTAGCCATCCTCTGAGACGGAGGACCACTCGCTTCAGCTGAGATGTTGAACTTTTTCCATATCAACACAAGTAGCTGGCAGTCTTGGTGGTTGGATCATGATGATCATGCTGAATCAGAAAATGTACTTTCGTCAAAATGAACTGCTGTGTTCAAAAGCCTCTGTCCCTTGACACTGCCTGGTTTTTATCGGAAATCCCATAATGGATCGTGATCATCCCCAATATCTACAGGCGAATGGGATACCATGATCAACCAACGGATGGGTTGATCGCAGCCAAGCGACGCTTCCAGGTCCGCTGACCAGTAATCCTCCAAGTCATCGGTTTGCACATCTGCGCTGTAGCCCCGATAACCTGTGACTGGACGAGTCGATGACTGGCGAGTCCAGACTGCTGGCTGACGCTGTTTGCATGGGGGAGTCTTGCTGGAATCATTGGAGGAAAACTTCAGGCTGGTTTAGCCTGACATGCTCAGGATTCACTATTTAAGAGAGAGAGAGAGAGAGAGGGCTGACGCTTCGCCGCTTCGCCTACCGTCAACAATGCTACGAATGTCACCCGAATGTCCTCAATTTTTACAGGCACCTCCTTCGGGCTCTCCAGGGATGCATTTGTCGACCCAGCCAGGCAGTTGCACACTAGGCCCAAAGTTGTGCTGGTAGTGCCTTGGCCGCGTACAGCGAAAAATCCCATGGATTTTTCCACAGATGAAATGAGGCAAGAGTGAGAATCGCAAATTTCAAGTGTTGACGATTTTGACTACTATTCCAAGACCCATTTCCTGAACACCAGCAGCACCATGATTTCTGCGGCCCAGCTCCGCTGGAACTTTTCAGCACACAGTATACCATTCTATATATTCACACCAGATCCATCACAGCAAATGCGCTTTCTTTGTTCCAACAAGCTTTTTGAGCTCTACATGTCCATCTCGATATCAGCGCTCCAAGTGGTGCTGGAACTTTAGGAAATCCCCTGCAGTCAAAGTGCTCATTGCGCGGATTGTATGCAACGCCCTTGGCGAAGAAACGCTTGCCGGTGACCTGCCGAGTGGTTTTTTTTGCCATGTTTTGGGTGACTGTCATGACTGTCATTACCCTGTGGTAAACTAACATAGCTATAGAAAATCACCATTTTGAATAGGTAAATCAACGAACTAAATGTGGTATTTTCAATAGCAAACTGTTAGTTTACCTTAAAGGCTGTGTCACAAATGTCCCATTCAAAAGGACGAAACTGACGGAGTCGCGCAATGAGTCGACGGACGGAACCACCAAGGCACCGAATCGTAAAGGAAGTTTCCGCGGGAGATAATGGGATTCACGGTGTCATAGATCTTTGGCTTCTCAGCGGACCAGACTGGAGAGTTTCCATGAGAAAATCTGCCCAGAAAGATCACAACTGATTTCTGGGTCATCCAACACAGGCAAGGTGAGTTCATCCCAGACATGGCACATTTTGCGTGTTGCGAAAAAAAATAGCCCAATTTTCAGCACCCATTTGGGTCCTGAAAATGTGATATACCCACAAATCCAATAGTTGATCATCCCTTCTTAAAATAGACAATGACCATTTTGGGTTTTCTAATGATCAGCTTTTCAGACACACCCCACGGTGGCCCATATCATCCATAGCCTTACCCTTCGACAATCATGGCAATCGAAAATTCTCACCGATGATTTTCCCATGAGCAAACCATAGCAAACCTTCATTTTTTAGGGGATTTCCATGTTTGACACTGGAGGTGATCCCCAGCTGTTTGCGGCTTCGGCGTCCGGTTGTGGGGGCCGTTTTGGCAGATGCATGGTGGCTTCCGGCTTCGAGGGCTCTTCGGGCTCTTCGGCCTCTTCGGGCTCCACGGAGGATGGCTTCGAGGGTTTCTGCGGCGGAAAAACGGGGGAGACTGACACGTGCAGGCAATATGTAGTAATGAAGTATTGATATAGTATATCAATGTATATCATTAATATTATAGAGGAATATCATGAAAATATATCATTCTATCTGCATCAAGAACTGTCAAGAGTCGAAAAAGTTCATCATCCCAGCAGTCTCCACAGAAGTGGCTGAAAACTGGAAGATGCGCCGTTGCGCAAGCCTCTCTCGTCTGTGGTGCCGGAGCGGCTTGTGGTTTTGCTGATGGAGCTGGCACACCAGTGGTCGCCTGCCCAGAACTTTCTACAAAAAAGGTGACCCTAAGATCCCTCAGCTGAGCCCAAAAGTGCTATCCAGCTCTAGTATCATTCTATCATAGGTGTTGCCAGTCCTGAATTGTCAACCAACTCAGTAACTCAAGAATCTTTGTCAAAATAGGTCAAAATCGGGCATTTTTTTCCACGAGTGGCGAACATCACCAGTGGATGTTGGACTTTCGTGTCCAGGGAAGTCCACACCTTGGGTCTGCATTGAGAGTACCAATCGTCCACCTTGAAGCACTCGGTTCCTGACGCCGACCCCGGTACTTTTGATCCGGTTGCAGGTGGACGAGGGCCATTTTACGCCAAGTTGCCATCAGCACACACCGTGGCGCCCTGCAGACACAGTGAGACTTCCCTTGGAGACTATGGAGACTTGGAGAAAGAGAAAACTTCAGATAAGTCTGATATTGTCATATAGATTCATGTAGTCAGATTATTCAGAAATAGATTTACATCATGCGTTTGTTTGTCCAAAGGGACGGGATTGGGTTCGGTTCATCTGAAACTGGAGATACTGGAGCGGATCCCCCATATATTTGTTTCAGTTGGTGTGATTAGAACACTTGTAGCCTCAAAAGGGCCACAGACAGCAACTGCATTGGTCCAGATTTTTTCCACTTGTCGACAGGTCGGTCAAAAAAAATCAACGGCTGCAGCTGCACGGCGAAATTCAAGTCCAGAGAGGATGGCACAGCGCGTGGCACAGCCCCCACCTCCCACTTTTTGCCACCGCACTGACTCCAAGCTGCTGCTTTGGGCCCTTCCGCGCGTGCGCGGGCATTCAACTGCAGTGCATTCCTGAGTCACAACTACTGATGTTCAGCATTGTTCAGCTAAGCAACTGAGAATCTCCAATCTCTAGAAATGGCTGACCCCAGATACCACATCCCTCGTTCGATGGAAAATTCTATGGCAGAAAAATCAAGCTACCATTCGCCGGGATATACCCTGGCTGCAATGTGCCCTTCATCATTTCAAAAACAAACAAACCGCACACCCAAGGTCATGCCAATCTCCTTGGATAGCACATTTGTAAGTGAAGCCCCATCTTGGTCTATTCGAGCCCTCCCCATGGGCCAAGTATCAGCGAGCACTCACTGTCAGAGACACATTCGCTGTCACTGGTCAAAAGTTCCGGCACATCCTCCGCACCTAGGGGAGGGATCCCACGTGAAACCCAGTTCAAACCATCGCACTGAAGAAGAGCGCGGAAGGATGCTTAGGCGTTGGCGACGTTGACATTGTGAAACAAAGCACATAGCACATGTATTTCTTAGCCAAAGTAAGTTGATTCACATTGAAAGTGGGAACTCTGGATACTGCTGTGCAATACTCAGCGCAAGCCATTTTTCTCGACCAGCCACTGACCATGTGCAGAGACCATGCCACTACACCTCCGGGAAGCTCCACTTCATGAGGAGTGTAATGAAAAATGGCTTTGGTACCTGAAAATTTAGGGGCAAACCATGGCAAACCCCCCAATTCATCCCAATTCTCTATAAGATATACCTAGCTTGTCATCATTTTCTCTGTTACATTCTGAAATTGCCATTTAAGGATGGTATACCTCATTCTCAGAAAAATACCTTTTTTTTCATGAGGCACAACTCACTGCATCCCAGCCTCTAACGAGCCACCGAGACATTGTGAGTCAGGGCAAAAATCGGATAGTTTGATGAAATTTCTTTGTTTAAGCGCTTGATTGAGCCAAAAGGTATTCTGCGCGTCAAGGCCTCACACGAATCCTTGCCATCAGCCCGTCAGCCCAAACCAGGGCCCTGGGCACAGGGCTTCCGTCACCTGCCCAAAGCCTGTTCCGCTACATCGGCCAAAATCGTCCAAAATCCCTACCCTTTCCTGTATGGAGCACGTCTAAAAATGAACAGTAATTAAGGACTGCATTTTGGTCGCTGAATTGTACCAACCAGCAACCTGCGCACTGACATTTAACATCATTTAACTCTGGCCAAACAATTGCTGCCCAACGCTTTTGATCCTGTCACCCAAGGCTTTTGATCCTGAAATCATTCCAAACCATTCTTGGCTCCAAAGAGAGTTGGATTCATCTGGCTCGTCTTAACGACCGGAGCTTTTCTTCTCACCTCGGATGAAAAATGCAACCAGTGAAAGCCGGGCCCGCGCAGCCGTATCGTTCAGGGACATTCTGTGTATCAGTTTGGGCACCACTGAAATCTTTGATGAATTGGAAGTTATAAGGACTGCTCCATCATCGGCGGTTTATCAAAGAGATCTTGCTCAAAATGAGGGATCGCGTCAAAAGTTTCGTGGCAATAAAACAGCATTGCATTTCACAAGCATCACTGTAAACCCATCCACCACATCACACTGTTTCATGAAACCAAGTCGCCAAAATGAGAGCCACAGCGGCAAGTGTCACTGCTGTCAGCATTGTCAGGACCCACTGCAAGTGAAGGCCTGGCATTCAAACACGGTTTCACGGCGAAGACGACGAACTCGTTCCGCCCCATCCCATTGATGGACCATTCCCGCCCCGCCTGGCGACTTAATCCAGGAGATCGAGGATTGACGAGTTTGGAGAAGATGAACCAAAGCCTCAGCTGGTTGATGCCCAGGATGCGCAGGCTTTAGCTGCTTTAGCTGTAGCTAAATTGCCACCGTTGCTTTCGAACCTGTCATGGTGCCATGCCCAGCCCAAGATTGAGTCTCTAAAAATCCATTGTTCCTGCAGATGTTTCCCTAACCCAACCCACTTAAGACTCCAAGTGGCTGCTCCCAAGGCCCAGTCGATGTCGCCCCCATTGATCTTCCGCTTCACCTGCACCTCGTTGCCTAGCAACTTTCTAGTGGTTGATCTTAAAAACAACAAAAACAACAAATTGGTAATAACTCCATTGATTCCATTGATTAATAGATGTCTTTTCGTATGTCTCAACTTACTGGTGCTTAGTAGGGAATGAGGGAATAATCCACAATAACTATCAATATTCATCCCAGCAACCCCCATTCCCATCCATTCCCGACTAAGCGCCAGTAAGTCTTTTCGTATGTCTCAATGTCAAACATCCATTCTCAGCAGCTTCCATGCTGTGCCTCCGTTGAGGGCATTGACGGCAGACAGGAATGCAAGCCTAAGAGCTGTGGATGGACTCATCTAGAGACCGCTAGAAGTTGATTGACACCCATATTGAAATATACATATTTATATATATATATACATACATAATTATATAATATTATACATATACATATATTATATATAATATATTATATATAATATTATATATATTATATAATATTATATATATATATTATATTATATTATATATAATATTATATATATAATATTATATATATATATAATATTATATGTATATATATCAAAAAAATAACAAAATGATAACAAAACGATGAAGGAAATGCTGCCAAGCCGCTGGTAGGACAGGGAAAAGCAAGCTTTTTCAAATGTGAAAGACAGATCTTTTCCACAGACTTCCGCTGCTTCTGCTTGACTCGGAGGAACACCTTCCTCAGCTCAAGGTGTGCTGGTCTGAACGTGACTGCCTGTTGCTGCAGCACAACGAGGCAGCAGTCGTCCATGCGAACGTGCTTACCGATGTTATAAGTCGTGTTCCAGGGGAAACAAACAACTCTTCATGCAACAGGTATTGCATGGTATTGCAGCCAAATTGCCATGTGGCTCAGTTTGAGGTCTTCTCTTACATAGAAGAAGTTTTCCTCAGAAGCATGACTCTCTCACTGGTGATCACAAGCTCCAGAGCACACAAATGAGGAAGGTGAAGCAATTGAAGCAAACTAGCCAACTAGCCGGAAATAAGAGCAAAACTACTGATGGGTGTCAGAAAGTGCTGAATTTGTGGTACATCATGGCTTCTTTCTGCTTGTGGCTTTCCCTGGGAACTCTCAATCAACATGACAGCCGAGCAGAGTAGTAGCTCGCCGATCATTGTCACCCATACAAGTGTTGCTCATTCCCAATCCAGCGATGTCTATGTCCACAGTTGAACCAGGGCCTCACATAAAAGCATATCACAAAAGGTGGCAATAAACTGTAAGGATCATATGCTTGTCTTCCAAGGCAGACTGCTCTATCAGAGACTCCAGAGGCCATCCACCGACCACCTGTGCAAGTTTCCACACACTGCAGCACAGGAGTCGGTGGCAATCAACGATCCCCTGACTGGAAGTTCGTGTTCATAGTGGCCAGGAGCACCAGCTTCCTTTCGTTTTTGGATCCACGAGATCGAAACAGATTTCAGGACACAAATCCCTAGGGGACTTCAAACACCCCAACTGCAGTCAGTTTTGGTTTTAAATTAGCATCAATCCTGGCACATGCCGCTGTGACTGGTGGGGCAACTTCACAATAAAGTGTGAATCTGGCACCACGGATCTTTTACGTGCTCTGTCAAACACAACACAGCCAACACAAGGAACAAATGAAAGAACTATATTTGCCATAGGGATGGGATGTCAACCGACCGAACCATTGAGTTTCTCATCCTGAAAGAGCATCTTGTGGATGTTGCTCTCACAAAGGTCGCTCTTGCCGATTCCCTGGACACTTGAACCCAGGCGACTCACTCGTGAGTAGCCTGGAGGATAGCATGGATCCTCACCCGCATCGCCTCAGTTCCCGACTGGAAGCCATGGCATAGCTTGGGAAGCCTCGAAAACCCTTGGGAACCAAGGCTTACCCAGCAAAAGGGGACACAGCAAGCCGCTGATTCTCAACTTGTGGTCAAGCCAGAAAATCGCATCCACAATACATAACTCCAAGCGAGATGTCGCTGGTTCGCTTCCACGTTCAGGCGAAGCGAATTTGCAAACAAGATGGAAAAGATATGAAAAGATATGGATGTGGGTCAAAATGGAAGACCTAGGGAACCACAGATGTTAGTCTAGTTTAGTATTCACCATCCATAATTTTAGGGGGTACCTAATTTTGACCCATACCGATACCCATATGAAAAGATGAATCCGAACACTTTGATAAAAACGGGACTCCATGACCATCATGAGAGTGCAAGCTCGTGTAGAAAATGTCGTCACAAAATGTGTACAAACCACGTCACCGGGATTCACCGAACCGGGGAAATTTTTGCTGTCGAAGCTGCCATTCTGGGCCAAGTCTCTGAGATCTTTCAGCTTATTCTGCGCGTAGTCCTGGCCAAAGCCTCAGGTTTGGATCAGGACCAGATCACCTGAGACCATGGTCAATCAGGGTCTTCCTTTGGGGTCCATTTCTGCACAGAAAATCATGGTTTTCATTTTCACATGTTTTCACCATGCAAAGCTGGATTTGCTCTTGTAATAAATCTGCCCAAGAACTGAGTCCAACAATTGAACACTTAGAACTTTTGACACTCTATCTGAGATAGCGAAACAAACGCTGCCCCTGCATAGCAGACGAGGAACCCAAGTAGCTGTGTGCATAAAGATCATAGACCTTCAACTGTTGGTTGGTGAAGGAAAATCGAAAAGCTGCAAACCTTCAAGATGCAATAACCTGGATGAAACACACAAGCCACATGCCTGGAAGTCATGGGAAGATCCAGGATGAGTTCGGCAGGAATTGTTGAGAAGAGTTGGCTGTCTGCCGACTGGAATTGGTGTCTCCGAACCTAGAGCCTCTGCCCAAGTCTTCCAAAATGAACTTCTGTTCCAACTCAACAATTCATTTTTGATCATATGAAAACCCCCCATGTTCCCTCAAATTGGATGATCTTTTTGAATGCCCTACACTTTGACCTGCCTTGCCCAGTGCTGTCTGAAATTGGTAGAAGTCCGTAACAGGAATTCTGTCCTGCAGGGGGAAGGGCCCCATGGATCCCAGCGGAAGCCCAAGCGGTACCCACCCGGTACCGGTACCCACCGGTGGTCCTTTTCTCCGGGTTGGAGCTCGAAAGAGACCTGCGTGGAGCCACCTCCCATTTCAATGATGCCCAAGGATTCTTTGTCAAAGGCCTAGGCGCCGGAGCCATGGAACGTAACGTTGGGGGCAGGGCACGTTGTTGGCTTCGTGGCTTTACTGCTGGCGCCAGGATCAACGCACCAAAGAGTCTAACTCTTAATCTGTGAAACTGGATGGAATCATATATAATCATACATAATCATACATAATCATACATAATCATCCTATTCTATGGTTCTCTGCTGACAAGTCCTCGTCTCATCAAAGCGGATCTCAATTCCTGATCGTTGGAGATTAGGGTAGCTTTCGAATCTTGGTGAGGTGCAAAAGTGCCATGGAGATAGTTGGCAGCAATCCAGGCCAATCCAGCTTCTTCTTTCCCCTTGATAATGTCCACCCAATCCTCAGTCAGCCCAGGTAAGGCCTACAAAATTCAGCTGAACTGTTATCGCTTGGAATCCTGGCTCGGAAAGCCGCTGCAGTTGAGCACCAGCTTTGTCATTTCCAAGCGTCATCTTGAAACCAGTAACCCGAAACCCTTAGCGTAGACCGCACCTAAGCTGACCACTGGTTTTGGTCCGGGAGATGTCAAAGAAGAAAGCAAAATTTCAACATGCATAAAATGTTTCGTGTCTGTGGCCTTCGAATGAAGCAAAATATATCAAAATATCATATCAATGAAAGCATACATGACATAGTTTCTTACATGTGTGTAGATATGTACATTGATGTATCATTGACATATAAATTATATACAGTAAATGCATATCATGTCGAGTCGCTTCCTCCAACACTGCAGCAGCTTTCTCTTGTTGAACTGCTCGCAGGCCAGCTGTGGCCTGACCGGCCAAACATGGAGGTAAATAGAGAACAGATCTGTTGCCTCTTGGTCTTGAACAATCTAGATTCTGTGAGTTACATGGACGAAATAACGCAACAAACGCAATGCCTTCATAGTGCAACGACGCTGGTTTGATGGTTTGATTGCCTCTATCCTGCAAATCAATTTACTAGCATATGTTTCACTGCATTCAAGCTGCGTATGGACATCTCCGGCTGTGCTTCCCGTCCCCAGTCTACCAAGTTGAAAATACCACCGCCAGAGACTCAAGAGATATCATATTCCCCGGCCTTCAAGAGGACTGGCGTATCTTTGCGCCGGCCTTCTTCAACAAAGTTGTTTGCAAAACCCACCTCAGCCATGGCAACCGAAAACCAAAACAGGCGCGACTACAACAGGGAGATCTGCGAAGGTGGACGAGGATGGCCCTAAAGTATGGATGTGCAGTGCAAATAGTCTCGAACGCCGCAGCGTCTCGGAAGCCAGGTGCACTCTTTACCTAACTTCTTTCTTGGATGGCCTGATCTACCACAGGTTCAGCAAGCATTGTTTCCAAACTCATCCAGTATCTCAACCATGCAATGTGGTGGTTGTTCGCTTTCTGACAGAAACAAAGTTTATCGAACCTCCATTTTTTACCCCATCCTTTACCCCTCTTTTACCCCATCCAATCCGCTTCCACGCCACCAGGCGCTCGATATTTTCTCGGCAGCCTGCGCAAGCGCAGGTCTAGTTGAAGTTGTTTGGGAGCTGCGCCGGCCATGGTTACTTCTTACGCTACATGTCTGCTTTCAGGATGGAATCAACAAAATTGACATGTGTGTGTGTGTGCATGTACGTATGTACGTACGTATAAATCATTTATGCGTATATTGTGTATGTATATATATATATGTATACATGTGTATACATTTATAGTAGATGATTATGTTATTCTACTTCTACTTCCAATTCCACTTCGTCTTCCCCTTCTTTCCCTTTTTCTTCGTTTTTTTTTTCTTGTTTTTTTTCTTCTTCTTTTTTTTCTTTTTCTTCTTCTTCTTCCTCTTCTTCTTCTCCTTCTTCTCCTTCTTCTTCTTCTTCATCATCATCATCATCATCATCTTTTTCTTCTTCTTTGTCTTATTCTTCTTTCTTCTTCTTATTGTTCTTTCTTCTTCGCCAACGTCATCTTCATCAATTCATCAACAGAATCAACAGCACCTAGTTCCAATAGATTTTTCTCAGCACACCCAAAACATCAAAAGCCTCGAAGGTCATCATGCTCCGCAAAGTGTGAAAGTCCTGGTTTCACTTTCCACGTTTGGTTGTCCCGCACAGACAAATCAATTCCTTGGCTGCGCAAATGAACGGATGCCTGGAGGAAGGGACCGCCTTGTCATTGAGGTCCCAGTGTTCCCTGATCTTCAAACGCTGACTTCTCAAAAGTATCGAACTTAGGTCTCGGAACACTCATGAACCACTGTTGCCATCGTTTGTGCAAACAGCCAGTTGCAAGAGCAAAACAGTACGGTGTGTGTTTCTGCCATGGGAAACACCAGGTGAACATCGAATTTTTCATTGAAATCATCCTGTAGCATGTCTTTGCGCCACTGCGATGCAAATTCATACGGACATGTGACAGGTCTGACTTTGCAGTTCAACATGGAACCTGTTACCGTGACACCACCATACACCACCAAATTCAATTGAAGGTCGCGGGACGTGTGCACCACCAGGAGGCATTCTCATGTTGAAAATGTGAATGCCTTGGCATCCACGGCATCCACGATTTCCGGAAAAAAATTGCATCAGAAATGCTGACCTCTAGGGCTCTAGGGATCTTCGCCGGGGGACGTGTGCCACTGCTGCCAGCGTCAAAGACCAAAGCTTGTTCCAAGGCACCCTGTGAAACGGCGCTTCCTCGCGAGGTAAGATTGGTAAAAATGTGTGAAACATGTGGGAAATTCAAACTGTGTGATATTTCGGGTGCATTCAACAAAGCGAAATTGGGTCATGCAATGCATCTTGCACCTGTGAGTTTCAATCATCCCATGACTGTCCCCATTTGAGACACGAATACGGCTAATTCAGATGAGACACCCCGCAAAGCAGGCTGAGCCTTAAAGAATGTCCCGCACCAAATCAGCCAATTTAAACACAAAAGAGACTTTTGTGATCACAACGAACGCGTTTCGGAACATCGCCAAGCACCACCATCAATCCGCCGAATATGGCAGAGGCACCACCACCTGAATCAT